GACTTTTATTTATTTATTTTTTTTTTGTTTTTGGGAGGGTGATCATAAGATGCATTTGTAACCCCCAGAGGAGGCAGCAGAGTTAGACAGTGATGTTAGCAAAAAAACTGAACATGTTATCAGATTTGAAGAATACTTGAGACGTAGTTTTGCTTTGATCTTCTTTGGTACCAGCTGGTGATAGATTTTACCCTATCCAAAACAACTCCTCCAACTCCCCCCCCACCCCCACCCCCCCCCCCCCCCACCCCCACCCCCCCCACCCAGGGTGATGAGAGCATTTTCTCAGCTGCCACATCATCTGAGCATCTGTTGGAATTCCATTCAGTCAATCTTTTGCACCCAAAGGACAAATATCAGCAGTGTTCATGCAGCCGGACGAATCTCTGTGGGTTTGTGAGGCCCTCGGCACCTGACATTATTGGAAATTTGGTGTGAAGTTAGCACGAGCTAACCCTGAATTTGAAAAGACAAGCATTTGCATGATGAAGGGGGAGTGGGGGGGTGCTGATTTTGCTGAGTGGTGAGCAGGAGAAGACTGAGCACAACATCACGGGTGTTTCTTCTTTTTATAGATTTCTTTTTTCATCGCTTTGATCGCTTCTTCCTAAAAAGAGCCACATTTAGCCCGGCTTCCAGCACAAACCCAACTGAGAGCAAAAGAAAGGAACAAAAGCCGTCACACAGACCTGATGTGTTTAGCTTGGCCTGAGTCTCTAAGAAAGCAAACTGTCAATGAGTGTGGTGCTTCAGCTTTAAGGAATTCAGATGTGTGGGCATTTTCATATTCATCACCTGGCTGCATTACATCCATTCATATGCAAAGGCTTACGCTGACTCCTCTGGGGAAATCAATATGGAAAGATGTGAGTGTAGTAGCAGAGCTGACACATGGCAGGTCAATATAGTGGGTGGGATGCAATATGAGCAGCGATCTGCATCATAACCAGGCAAGTGTATCATAACGTGGTCACTTCTAATGGCCACAAGGAATCATTTCCACTCACACATGAAGAAAAATAGAGGACGCTCTTTGCATCTGCCTGCAGATGATTTCACCGAAACATTTTATTTCCTGGTTGGAAAAGAAGCCCGCTCCAATATTTATCTCTTTGTTTGTTTGGCCAGTTTGCCAGAGTGAAGAAGAAAAACATGGTGAATGGAGAGAGCATTCCAGAGCATGCGGAGAAAAAAGAGACCGAAAACACCAATCTGATCATAACGGATGCTAATTGGGCTGCATGGTGGCGCAGTTGTTAGCACCGTTGCCTCGCAGCACGAAGATTGCAGGTTCGAAACTCGGCTGCAGCCTTTCTGCGTGGAGTTGCGTGTTCTCCCAATGCAGGCGTGGGTTTCCTCCGGGTACTCCGGTTTCCCCCCCAGATCACAGCATGCCCTGTAGGTTATGACCATACCATACCACACCATATTTATTTATAAAGCACCATTTCAAAATAGCATGGCAGCTAACCAAAGTGCTGGACATAAAAAAGCCAAATGCTTGATCAAGAAACACAATAAGAACAGGCAAAATACATAAGAACAAAGCATAAATAGTCAGAGATAAAGATTCCTGCTAAAAACAATAAAATAGGAGAACAGTTAAAAGCACTATAAAATAAAATAATGCGACGAATGATAAAAACATTTGAAATGGCACAAATAAAACAAAATAAAATACCAGATGGTGCGAGGTGCCAAAAGTGAGCAACTAAATCATAAAAATGGAATTAAAAACTCAAATCCGGTGCTAGATCGTCATGAAAAGTGTCACGGAGGGAAGGCAATGCTAAAGAAGTGCGTTTTCAGGGCCGACTTGAAACTGCTAACAGAGGGAGCCAGACGCACACGGAGGGGCAGAGAGTTCCAGAGTTTTGGGGCTGCATAAGAGAAGGCCCGCTCGCCCCGTGATAAATTGTAAGTCGCTTTGGATAAAAGCCAAATAAATAAACATAATAAACACATAATTGAATTACAGATGCACTGACAAGGAGCTGAGAGCAAATGGGAGAATCTTAAGTCATTTTTCCTCAAGGTTAATGCGTTTAACCTCGCACTAATCTGGTCTGCTTCTAGAAAAATGTCAACATTTCCAACATAATCCTCTAACGGGCGTCAGTGCAGTGCAGCTGATCTACAAAGCATGAAGGATTCAGCACCACGGACAGAGACGTCAGCGTCTCTGTCAAAGGCTGGACAGAAAAAACAAGGGTGCCGTTTGTTGTTTTGTGTAAATCAAAGGGACCAGCTGGTGTTCAGTAGTTAAAACAGAAATGTATCTGTTTCAAAGCCATTTTAGGAACACGAGAGTTTGAGAAGAGAGGCAGTCATAACAAAAACATTTGATTTCCATGTGTGGGCAGTTGTGCTGCTTGGCCTTTTACTTGTAGAGTTCTAGTCGAGGCTTTCTTGAGAAGCTGACAGCAGAGACAGACCCATCGTTCACAAAACGAGTGAGAAAATGAACATTAAAGAGAATAAAATCACATAATATCTTATAAAAAGTTTAAATGCTGCTTTTTATGCTGTGTTACCCACAGATTTCTGAACTGTGTGTGAGCACGATGCCAGACTTGGTGACATTCCAACACAACCTGAAGATCTTTAATATTTGATAAGGTGGAAAGTGCTCCCGCTCAGACACGGTCAGGACGTGAAATAACCGAGCAAACATTAATGCTACTCTTTTAATTCACCACATTTCTTGCTCTCAGTCACTACAGAGTTCTAAAACGGCAAAAACATTAATAAACGCTTTAAAATCTTTGTGTTTATTCTGTTTTTTGTGAGATTTTCACTCAAAGAAAACCTAAAAACAATTCTTAAGAAGGAAATTGGCTCTTGAGGCTAAAACTGAGCCTGTAACATTTTTGTGTTTTATACCACAATGATGCTGCTTTCCTGTTTTCAGCTACATTTTTATCCATAACCAGCGTTGGCAAGATGAGGACAATGAACAGGTTATTAAAAATGCATCTGAAAAGGAACATTTTGTTCCTGTCAGTGTTTGTTTATTTATGAAAATGTAAGTTTCGGGGTTTTACTGTTTTAGTTTTCTCCAGACATGATCATAATGCTACCTTAGAGGTCTGCTGGAGACAAGCAGCAGTGTAAATGTGTTAACTGAACTTTTGTTCTGCAAATTCTCTACATTCTGCTGACATGTTTGTTTTTAAAGGAGCTAGCTTTGTGTGCATGTAAGACGTTGCCTTTAGCTTGTGAAGAAACAATATAAATAAACTATTCGGAGTAACAAAATAAGCAATTAAGGAAAATTATTATCTAGGCTAATGACAACTATTAGCGTATATGCTGTAGGATGGCTTTCCAAACCTTTTTGCAAAAGTAAATCCAATGTTCAGCGATCAGTGACAGGGATGATCATTCACATATCCAAAATTTCGGGACTTGGCAGAAACCATCCCTGCAGCAGGAGGTGAGGGAAGCTGCAGGTGGTGCGTTTAAGGCCTGCAGGAAAAAGGAAAACTAATTCTGCTTAATTGTTAAGACTGCTGACTGAAGGTGCCTGTTATAAAGCTATTCAATCATGTTTCTGTTTCATATTGGACGTACACTGTTATTTAAATATTTGGTGATTAAAATAGACACAATGTGGTTTTCGTCCTGGCCGTGGAACTGTGGACCAGCTCTATACCCTTGCAAGGGTGATGGAGGGGGCATGGGAGTTTGCCCAACCAATCCACATGTGCTTTGTGGATTTGGAGAAGGCTTATGACCGTGTCCCCAGGGGCACCCTGTGGGGGACGCTCCAGGAGTATGGGGTGGGTGGCTTTCTGTTAAGGGCCATTCAGTCCCTTTACAAGAGGAGCGTGAGTTTGGTCCGCATAGCCGGTAGTAAGTCGGACCTGTTCCCAGTGAGGGTTGGACTCCGCCAGGGCTGCCCTTTGTCACCGGTTCTGTTCATCACTTTTATGGACAGAATTTCTAGACGCAGCCGTGGTGTGGAGTGTGTCGAGTTTGGTGGCAGGAGAATCTCGTCTCTGCTTTTTGCGGATGATGTGGTCCTCCTAGCTTCATCCAGCTCTGACCTTCAGCTCTTGCTGGGTAGGTTCGCGGCCGAGTGTGAAGCGGCTGGGATGAGGATCAGCACCTCCAAATCTGAGACCATGGTTCTCGACCGGAAAAGGGTGGCTTGCCACCTCCGGGTCGGGGGAGAGGTCCTACCTCAAGTGGAGGAGTTTAAGTATCTCGGGGTCTTGTTCACGAGTGAGGGTAGGAGGGATCGGGAGATCGACAGGCGGATTGGTTCGGCGTCTGCAGTGATGCGGACGCTGAGCCGATCTGTCGTGGGGAAGAGGGAGCTGAGCCAGAAAGCCAGGCTCTCGATTTACCGGTCGATCTACGTCCCAATCCTCACCTATGGTCATGAGCTTTGGGTAATGACCGAAAGAACGAGATCGAGGATACAAGCGGCCGAAATGAGTTTCCTCCGTAGGGTGGCCGGGCTCAGCCTTAGAGATAGGGTGAGGAGCTCGGACATTCGGGAGGGACTCGGAGTAGAACCGCTGCTCCTCCGGATCGAAAGGAGCCAGTTGAGGTGGTTTGGGCATCTGGTCAGGATGCCTCCTGGACGCCTCCCCGGGGAGGTGTTTCGGGCATGTCCTGCCGGCAGAAGGCCCCCGGGTCGACCCAGGACACGTTGGAGAAGTTACATCTCCAATCTGGTCCGGGAACGCCTTGGGGTCCTGCCGGAGGAGCTGGTGGACAAGGCCGGGGAGAGGACGGCCTGGAGCTCCCTAGTTGGGATGCTGCCCCCGCGACCCGGACCCGGATAAGCGGAGGAAGACGACGACGACGACGACATTGTATTTTCAGAGTATCTTCTGGGTGGATACATTATTATCATTATTATTATTATTATTATTATTATTATTATTATTATTATGTGAATCTTGAGCATGTTAACGCGCACAGCTGTAACTTTAAGACTCCTCTCGCCCCCCCCACCCCCCCCCCACCCCAAGCCCCCCCCCCCCCAC